AAAAAAAAAAGGAAAGAGGAAAGGACTGTAGAGGCGAGAGACCAAATAGCAATGGTCGGATGACCATAATCATACCGTTGTGTTTTGCCCACTTCTCCCGGCCTGCGTGGGGAGATAGCAGACATAATTGGGAAGCGTGCCGCTGCCGTTGACAGCGACGGCGCCACCACCCGGCTGCAGCAAATTCCACGATGGGACAGCGGCCAGTGGCTGCGACGGTGCCATCATGAGGGGAGGATTGCCTGCGGCACCAAACGGATAGCCACAGGAAGATACGAACGGTGCCTGCTGCGGCGCCGATGCAATTGGCAGGAAAACAGGTACACCACCGGGCCCCTGCTGCAGCATCACGTATTGCTGCTGTTGTTGTTGCTGTTGTTGTNGATGCAATTGGCAGGAAAACAGGTACACCACCGGGCCCCTGCTGCAGCATCACGTATTGCTGCTGTTGTTGTTGCTGTTGTTGTTGTTGCTGCTGCTGCGGTGGCAGCGGCGGCGGCGGTGGTGGTGGCGGTGGAGGGGCTGCCGCCACTGGAGCGGCCGGGGTGTAAACGGGGTACGGATAAGGTGGTGCCTGCATTGCCGCGGTTGAGGTCATGCCATTCTGCGCAGAGGAAGTGGCAACACCTAGAATATTGCTGTCACTTAACGAGGCACAATTCACACTACTGTGGGTGCTTACCATAGACTCAGCTGCTGCTGCCATTTGAAACGTTGGAGGCGGTTGATACATTGGAGGCGCTACCGATGCTTGCTGACGTTTGCGCTCAGCGTTTGATGCATCTCCTGCAGCGCCTGGAAAAAATGGAAGCATCACTGTCGTCGGCATGATATTTGCCTGAGGCGCGAGTCCGGTAGCCGGCTGTAGGTGTGGCATGAAGGGAAAAGACGACACAAACCCACCAGGTGCAGCACCACACATGGTACCTGGCAGTACACCTTCTGATGCTCTCCTGCCGTGCAGGGCAGCCATGGCGTCGAAGTTTACCATTCCCGATGTAGAACCAGCAACAGTGTTCCTGGATTGAAGGGATTGAATAGACGGAGGCCCCGTACGCGATCTGGCGTCACGGCCATGTGTGCGGTAGGGCGACGCATCGCTGTCGCCTCCACGACTGTTCCCTTCTCGAGAGGCCTGTTTTTTCCGATCCTGTTTCGGTGCATCTTCGCTATCACGACGGCTACGAATACCAACGAGCATGGTTCCAAAGAGTGTGTGGTGTAGTGCGCAGGTACGTCCCTCTCGTGTTTGTATTAACTCCTCCTTTGCCCACGATTGCAGTGGGAGGGCGCGGGCCCGCTCAACCTCATCCTGAAGCACCCTCACGTGACGAAGCAGCGCCTCGGTATCATCCCCCATGTAGCTGTTGGCTATGCCTTTACGTTCTTCACGCCAGGCCGCCACAATGGAATCTTTCCCATGCAATGTATGGCGGAGATCCTCACTTTCATCCTTGAGTTTGTACTGTACCCATGCACCGCCGACAAGTCGGGTGGGGGCCGTGAGTAGCCCAGAGGCCCAAATGGTGGCCTGCGCCACGTACTTGGGCAAGAAGCGGAGACGAACTAACTCCACTGGAGCGTCTGCGTCCCCTGCCAGATTTTTAGTACGTATTTGCTGCTGCTGCTCTTGTTGTTGTTGTTGGCGCCCTTCTGCAAGAATTGCATTCTCGCTTTTGGTTTCTCCATTCTCATCTAATCCGTCGTCCAGTACATGCATAGAGAGGTTATGAACTTCGTCATATGTTTCACTACCACTCCGTTCTCCATCTTTTGTTATTATTCCTTTTTGCGTGCTTGGTGTTGTCGCTGGCGCCGTTATCTCTGCGCTGGAGGCTGTTGTGAGTGGAGATGATGATCCAGTCCGTTCCTGTTCACCATCCTTTCGCTCGTGAACGTTGATACCATCCGCAGTTGCAGCCGACAGTCCCTCAAACACGAGTTTTGGCATTTCCAAAACGCACAAGCTAGGGTTCACGGTGGTTTGGCACTGCAAGAAAGCCACATTCTCTGTCAAAGACTTTAGTGATGAATAGTTATCGACAGCTGTCTCCACACAAATGTTTAGGTGACGGAGTCGCTGCTCCAGAACGCGAAGCGCCTCCTCCCTGGCTTGATGGGCGGCTGCGTTGTTGCGACACATCCTATAGTCTGATAGGGAACCCTCATGAAAGCCCAGGGATGACACACCCATTGGATTGTCATTGATCCCCAGAAAACCATCTGTTCCAAAGGGGTTCCTCTCAGCCGATGAAAGAACACGAGAGACGGAATCCAAGTACTGATTGCGTAGCATCACAGCTGCTAGGACGAGAACCCGCTCGAGGGTTCGGTCACCAGCGGAAGCGAGCACTGCGGCATTCAAGAAAAGCGGCACACTGCATGCATCCACGTATGGATCGTAGACACCACTACTGCTATTGCTGCTATTTACTGTTGCTGTTGCAGGTGGCCTGCCCTTTGTAATTTTGAAGACACTACGGAGTTCTGCGCTCAGACAACCGAAGTATCCAATAACCACAACACTGCGCCCGCGCCACAAGAAACAGCCAGAGCGTTCCTGTCCATCCTTACAGGCCAGACATAGTGCACACGGAACGGGAACAAGTGCACGTTGGCTATCCGCCACCATCTCCGCATCACTGTTATATAAGCCCTCCTCGACCTTATCCAAGAAGACGTCCAGATCCTCTTCCGTGAATGTATTGGACATAAGCTCTGGCCACGAAGTCATTACCTTTTCACGCGCGTTGGCATACAGGATAGCTGGATCGCTGCGCATGAGCACGAACTGGCGTCGCAGCTCCTCTGTACTGGCTCGATGAGCCGCTGCATTCATGGAAGAAGACGCACCACAGCCTTCCTCATCGTCTGGGCGGCCAAAGAAGGCCTTGGTGAGAGGAATAAGGCCGATTTCATACGTTCCCCTAAAGTAGGAGTAAAGGGTCGTCGCCTCACGAGATGGAGTAGCTCCCATTTGTCTTGTCGCACACCTATAAAGATTTGTCTGCCTTTGGTTTCTTTGTCTTGTGGGTTCCCTTCCAGTTCTTTTCCGCCTCCTTTTCCTTTCGTTTTGTTGGTTTCAGGTGCTCTCCTCCGGATCCTTTTGTTGCTTCTGGTTGCGGTAGTACCTTGTTGTTACCCTAGTCCTCGTTCCTTCGCGTTGTCTTCTCGTGTTTGACCTTTTTTTCTTTTCGTTTGCTTTGTTTCTGCTGTTCACCTCTGTTTTTTTGGCTGGCGCTTGTTTAGTTTGTTTGCCTTTCCCTTTTGTCTACCTGATACGAAACCCTTGGCTGGTTCGTGGTGCTCCTTTGGCTTGCTTTCTCCCTTGTGCGCCGCTCCTGCGTTCCTGACCCACACGGTTTGTTTTCTTTCTTTCTTTCTGTCCCGCTCGGTCAGACAGCTTTTTGGTCGCGTCTCACCGCTTCGCTCTCCTGGTGAAGATATGTGTAAGTATGTTTTGTATACGTGTGTGCGTGTCACGTTTTTCTTCCACTTTTTTGTTGTCTTAATTGCCTGCCTGCTTCCTTCCTGGTGGTTCCTTGACTTCTCTGTTGAACCGCCTCTCTCTTTCTCCTACGCGCCTTCCGCTTTCACACAATGAGCGTGCGTGCTTTGGTTACTAAGACTTACTGTGTATCACCCAAGCCCACACCGAGGAAGCACAGCGCAAACAAGA